CATCAGACAATTCAGATTTCTATCACATATATCCAGCAAAGGCCAGGCCAATCTGAAGATCATCTACTTACTAAATATCTTACAATCTACAATATTCCTTTTGTTCACTAACATGGTCTATATATTATTAAGAATATTAAGGCCTATAAGCAGAAAAATGTGACAATTATCATAAAGTATGCAACTTATATGAGCCCCAATATAATAAAGACTAAGCTCATCAAATCAGGAAGTATATGGACAACTAGAAGCCAAATATAATTATTTAAAAGTCCAAGCCTAAGAAAGGCTTTTCATCATACTGCTTGGATGGTCTTACCACTTGACAAAATATTCTCCTTACCAAATGCATTGAAACAGGGTGCTATGGATGTCTTAAAAACTGACTTCTAAGTCTTAGTAGATAAGGGAACTACTGTACATTGGAACGGTTGCTCACCAAACTCCAGTCCATGCTGGTACCTTAACATCAGTTCTCTGACCACACTCAATTTCTGACTTTTATCCATGGTGTGATACAAGCCAAGTAACCTTGTCAGCTGCACCACACACAGATGTTGCTGCAGAGCTCTGATGTCAGCAGGCAGTGCCAGCTTATCCTCTGTTGGTGTTGACAAAGGAACAACTCCAAGTAACTGATTAATAAACTGCGAAGTGGAGAAAAAAGGAGCACAGGTCTCAAAACACAAATCTTCCATAATTAACAGAAATTGAAACGGTCTACATGAAGACAATCAAGGAATAAAAAATTAAAATTCCTTTAGTATATGGGTATAAAAGCATAACACATGGGCGGGGCACAGTGGCACACACCGGTAGTCCCAACTACTTGGGAGGCTGAGGCAGGAGGATCATTTGAGCCCAGGAGTTTGAGGTTGTAGTGAGCTGTGATGACACCACTGCACTCTAGCTGGGGTGACAGAGTAAAACTGTCTCAAAAAAAAAAATAAGGATAGTATGTGCGATTCTCGTGGTGATACTGTTCTGTATCTTGACTATGGTGGTGGTCACATGAATCTGTGCACTATATACTGCACTAAATACACACATGCCAAACACATATACACACAAATGAGTTGAGTACATGTAAAACTGGTGAAATCTGAATAAGATCAGTGGATTGTATTAGTGTCAGTTTCCTAATTATG